CAAATACAAATTAAAAGAACAGCAACATGTCAGTACACATCTATTGGAATGCATAAATTAAAAACTCTGACCACGTTAAGCGTTAGCAATGAGTGGGAAAACTGGAGGTCTCACACCCTGCTTCTGGGAATGTGCATCCCCTTTGGAACACAGTTTGGCAATTTCTTAAAAAGTTACACAGACACCAACCATAGGACCCAGACTCTAGTCCTAGTTATCTGCCCAAGAGACATGAAAGCATATGGCTGTACAAAGACTTGGACGTGAATGTTCAAGGCAGCCGTGTCTGTAGTAACAGCCAAAACCTGGAAGCAACCCAAATGTGCACAGGCAGATAAAATACACAAACAAGTGTATAATTGCTCTTTTCAATTTCTAGAGGCCCCTCCACTCCTCAGCTCAGGCCCCTGTGTCACATCCCTCCGACCTGTGCTTCTATTACCACATCTCCTTTAACTCTGACTATTCTGTCTTCTTATACAGAACCTCGTGTGCATCCATATAATCCAGAATAAGCCTCCCATCAAACATCCTCACTTAATGACACCTGAAGAGCCCCTCTGGACACGTAAGACCGTATGTTCACAGGTGTTGGGGATTAGGATGGGAACACCTGTAGGGCCCATCGTTCTGTCTACAGTAGGCTCCAGCTAAACCAGCGCCCTCACTTTTCAGGTGAAAAAAGGACAGAGTCTTTGTGACTCATAAGGGTCACCAGAGCAGTTTAATGGCAGAGCCTGGAATGCAGACAGCTTGTACAGCTATCAGGGAAATTATCTTTCCATGACCAAGACTAATTCTAGAGAAATATAAGTCTTCTAATGTTTTCCCAGTACATTAGAGCTACCTTCTATGTAAGGTAATACTTAGTCAACAGTAACGTCTCTGTTAGAGTTTTCCCTTAACTGAGTTTTACATATTTCCGAATAAATTCACGTTTGCCCTACCAAAATATAACAGGATAAAACCTAGCAAATTTGTACTCTGTACTAGGTTCCGCACCATTTAGATAGTATTTTTAAATAGAAATACTAGATTGAATGCACAATATTCCATT